GCGCGGCCAAGAGGAGGACAAGAGGAGGACAAGGCCCAGCCACAGAGTTCAGGGGCGGCCAGTGAGTGTGGCCAGCTCTTTTCTTTCTAAGATAGAACCCCAACAGTAAACTGTTTGGTGAATAAAACACAGAAACACGTCGACCTGCGACCTTCGACACCAGGAATCGCCATCTCTCCTGCCTCTCCCTCCTGAATCACGTAGAAGGCCTGAAAAGAGCCAAACACGCCAACGAAATCAGACAGAATTGTGCTGATCATTTGTGTCAATGATATTGGTAGAGTGATGCTGGTGATGCTGGTGATGCTGATCTCTTCTTAGCTACACCATCAGCATCACCAAGCATCAGTTTACTGCAGGGTTCAGGGCTAAGACTTGGAAGATATTTGCTAAGTTACTTTCCAATCAGACATCTTGAGAGAGAGAGAGAGAGAGACCCGGTTGAAATTGGAGGCTTCGGATGTATAGATCCCCATCAAGACCTTTGGCTCGCTTGCGACCGTGTCAAATTGATGCCCGAATGTGCTAATTGTCCGAGTCACCAACCACGTCTCCACCTTAGTTTAAACATGTTGAAACACTCCCACACCTTGATCTACGCTGTGCCACTTGCTGTGGGTTACTAGTGGGTCTGCGTCGCGGGTTCCAGTCCAAACGAACCTCCAACCCAGCTTGGTCCGAAAGATGTCGGCTCAGCCTCAGGTGTAGAAGTCCTAAATTCAGAATCCATCATGATTACGTGAACGTTGTGGCCCCGAAAGGAAGACCATTTTCCTCTGACCAAGAGGGGGTGAACTCTCCAGTTTCATGATGCACGGAGAGTATCTAAGTCAAATCCACTTCCTTCACCCACAGCTTCTCCAGCTATTCCAGTCACCCCCCCTCTCTTCGTCTTTCGCAGTCGACCTCTGGAGGATCGCCCTTTCGGAAGATCGTCTCCCCTGGAGGCTTGATCGCAGGGATCGCGTTGAACGCCCAGGCGATGGACTCAGTCCCGACCCCAGCAGTTGGATGAGTTGCCCAGCTGCAGACATGGATGAGTTTGATGTCTGCAGACCATGTCAACCCATCTCCCTAAGGCAACACACCTCCCATGAGAAGACCTCAAGTACATTGTTCAAGGGCAGGATATATGTATTATGGTAAATATAAATATAAATATATATATATACACTTACGTATGGAAAGCATTGCAGCTGGTATAAACATGCTGCTAAAACCCAAGGGTCTAGTGAACTCACTCTGACTGAAACGATCGGAGATTCGACTAAGACTAACTTTTGACTTGCGGAAAGAATACAAACATATACAAACTAGTTTACAAAATCCAGCCAAACAAAAAGCTTCCCCAACTTCCAAATTCCAGCCAGAAAAATCATCCAACGTCAAAATCCTCCCAGAAAAAGCCTTCACCAACTTCGCCTTTACATCACCAAAATATCCGTCTCTTCATCCCACCAACTTTCACTAAAACGAGCTCACCTGGAGTGAAGCTTGCGCTGTGGAAGGCTGCAGCCAGCAAAGGCCTCGGCCGCAGGTCTTGGTTGGACCCCCACGGAATGGGTTGGTGAGCAGTTCTTTACCTTCAATGTTCCCGTGGCGTTCGACTGTTCTTCCACTTTCAGGGCTTGGTCAGCCATGAATTTCCCCATCGGTTTTCTCCCATGTTCCCGTGGCCCCGGCAGTTCGCAGCGTTCCAGGCGCCGGAAGACGGGCACGCTGGCGAGCCAGGCCATGCCATCGGCCTCGGGGGGGCCATGGTCAGATGAAGATCTTCATCCACTGAGTGCGACGGAAGGAGGGTGGGTGGCTGAGGGTGGCTGGATCCCAAGGAATCGGTAGTGAGGGGAATGCATCCCTCATTCCTTGCTTAGCACGAGATGAATCTCAGAATATCCCTTCCCAACATGATCAAGAACCTCCCTGACTGCCGCCTCTTTTCAGAATCGATGTCTACCATACCGCGGGTCGGCCCCTTCACGCGCCCGAACCCCCGCGGCGGGGCCCGTCATCGTGCCATTGTGCCAGCGCACCATTGTCTTGGGTTCTTCGGCCCGAGTGAGACACAAGCTGGAGTTTCTACTGGGTACAAGAAATGATCCAAAAAGGATTCAAAAAAACGCTTATATATTGGTCAAAAAAACACAATGGATTTGAATCCTTATGGTGAAGTGGAATTCACTTCACTTGGTGAAGGGGTTGGCTCTGGAAAGTGGTCCTGGCTGACGAAAGCGTGCGGCGACATGACGTCCGGTGTTTGTAGGACATGACTTTCGATGATCACCCCCTAGCATGACCACAGAGTAAGTCCCAGAGTGATTGGTTCTAGCTGTTTGCCGTCCGTATAATATGTAAATATATGTGTATATATATATATAACATATATATGAGTTGATTAGATCACGGGCAGTGTCCAATGTATACTAATATGGCAATAGAACAATATCATCGAGGCGGGGTCGTTTAACATGGATCCGTCCACGTGTGAAACTCTGAATGCCAGGTGATCCAGAAGAACTCTGATTCCATGCACAGTACCACAAGAGTGTAAAGTCAAAGTTCAATCTTTGTTGCAAAATGTATGAGCGTGTGTGTGGAATTGTTCTACACTCATCAGAACCAAAGGGCCCCATATGGCCATTTGTTGACCGAAAGCGTGCCGCCCATACTATACCCTTATATCGCCATTATGTAAGAAATCTCACTTCCGATCCACTGTACAGAGAGCCTTCAAAGACCACTTTTAAAACATTGTTTATATACTTGTTATATAGTTATATATGCATGTATATATATACACATATAGTGTAAAACAAGGGTTCTTCGGTAATTATCCAGTGTTCTTTACTATTTAATCAATGAGCGCTCGAATCTTTGGGGGCACCGGCACCTCTTCAATGACCTCTGTCAATTCCTCTGCTCTTCCTCCCCGTTGTCTCCGCAAACACTCAATCAACTCCTGCCGCTACTCCAAGGCTGGAGGCTCTGGCCTCCAAGGCACTTCCATCGGGACGATGCATGAAACGTGATGAACACGAAAAAGTTGGTCAGAAACGAGATCACCGGAGAAAAAGTAACCCATGAAAATCAAGAATGTTTGGAGGAATTAGGGTGATTTTGATCTTTTGAGATCTTTTGGGATGAGATCTTGCACGATTTCAAAAATACCGGAGAATCTCCAAGACCCTCCCAAGAAGGAAAAGCCACGAGACACCTCTTCCGGTCACTGTGGATGATCGGAGTCGCGATCCCCATCGTTTCGGGCGCTTTCGTTTGAAGGGTCGGTGGCTTCCCCCAGACGTGGGTGTGCGAGACAGACACGACGTGGGTCAGGTCGCGGTCCCCAGGTTGACATGGCGCCAGCAGGTGCTTTCGTTTTGGGATGCCATGCTTGGATTTGCTGAAGGAACAGAAAAAGAAAATCGAACAAAAGCCCAAAAATAACATATTCCCCAGAAGGGATTTAACCGGGAAATAAAGACGAATCATCTGTTTAGTTAAGCAAAATACCAGGCATGGAGATGGTAAAGAGAGCTCTGTGTCGGTCTGTGTGGTATGGACAATTCGTCTTTTGCGATGATTTCCCGATGTTTACCTGAGCTGATCGTCAACGGGAGCTTCTACCTACACCAACTGATGTGACAGTTTCCCATGAAATCCCGCTAAGGGCCCCATTCTAAATCATGTACTAGTATATGATTGAATTTGCAATAGGCTCTGCAACTTGTTCGTCCAGTCTGGTGGTGATAGAGATGAATAGACCTTGAAGAGGGAAAACCGCTGACTCATTCTAACAAGAATGCTCTCCCATCTCGCAATTCTCTGTCAGTTTCCTCCAAGGCGCAAGAACTTGGATCGACCTTATGGACACCTGAACCGGAAAAGGCCAGCCAACTACTTTGGGGATGTAGTAACCAGGGTATCGCTATCAATAACAAGTGCATCGCTACGTTCGTAGCAAGAAACTACCAGTAACAAGGGCACTACTACTAGTAGTAGCAAGGGCATCGCTATTGAACCCTGCACCACTGCACCGCACCTCCTACCCCCAGGTTCACCACAGGGCACCTCATCTGCTGCAGCAGGTTGCTCAGAATCCTTGGAAGCTCAGCTTCTGAAGTGCATCAACTGAGTGTTCTGGTTGACCGGTTGGTGGTTTCAACGCAGGGGCCGAAGAAAAAACACACACAGGGACCAGTGGGTGAAAACTCATCCCAGGTCAAGATAAACTGCTCTGAATGTTGTCTTCTTGAGGTTGGTTTGGTCTTTGAGAAAGGCATCAGAAAAGCATCATAGCAATGCTATCCCAACAGTCTATCCCCACCATCAGCCTAGAACCATCAGAGACCATCAAAGACTTCAGAAGTCAGAGTGATTACAACTGGAAGTTCTTCAGCTGCCCAGCGGCCCAGTTCTTCCGCATCTGAAAACCGCACCAGTGCGACCGGGCCCGCGATGCCCACCCACCGCGGCCCGAGACCCACGGAGGACCCCAATGACCCATCCAAATGGAGGTTTACCTCCATTGGGCCTTGGGCCGACCGGGACTCTGAACGCATCTGACGGTTGATTCAAATCGAAGATCGGACTGGAGATGCAAAATGATGTAAAAGCATTCTGACATATTCTGGGTAATTTTGTAGAGGTGATTAGTTTATAATGGGTATTTATATTATAGTAGTAACAAGAAGCTATTAGGTTGGAGGCCATCGCTACTAGGGTGGACGCCATCGCTATTAGCTTGGAGGCCATCGCTACTAGTACCAGTAGCAAGTCTACATGATGCTCGCCCTGGTGTTTTTCTCCCCACCGGACTACAGTGGCAGCAGGGAAGAAAACACAATGACAGCCTGAGCCAGAAAAGTGGTTTCGAGGAAAATTCGAGCAATGCTGTCCGCCCTGGGCATGTCCAGATGTATCCCAAGCTTGCCACCTGAGATTGCCTTTCACATCCTTTCACCAAACAACATGTGGGTCATCTACCATCCTAGAACATCCTAAAGCATCCTATGGGTGTCCTGGCTAAAAAGAATCCCTATATAAGTCTCCCAAGTAGTGTAGGCTAGTCCAGACAGGACACCCAGAACGGATGGTCTATAGACATACATCCAAGGGTCCATGTCGACACCCAGCGACGCTGGAACCCAATGGTCGAGCGGAGCATGGATTCGACCCTTTGAACCAGTGCTAGATGGTGCTGAGCCTCGAGGACCTCGACCTCGAGGACAGCCATGTGAGGTGCTGAATGGACCCAATAGGTGCTCAAGAAGGCGGACGGATCTACCCAGGTCGTGCAACGACGCCTAGGCCAGCCCCTGGCTCAAGGGAGGAGCGCCTGGCTCAATGGGTGTCTGTTTTTCATAGGGAGAACCGCCTCAAGGCGGACGGATCTACCCAGGGAGCTCGTGCAACGACGCGCGTCCGGCGTCAGGCTCGCCCCACACCGGGTCCGTTCCCGCCGAGGCTCGCATGAGCCTTATGCAGCTCGCTCACGGGGTCCTGGAGATGAAGGGATCTCCATGTTCGGCCCATTGGAAGGGCCCTGAAATGGCCACAATGGTCCCCAACAAAATCTGACACTCCCTGTTGTTCTTCGTGGAAAAGGTGGCATGGCCCCCTTTTGTACGACGATAGGATGACCATGGAGATTCGTTGCGCGCACGCACCAGTCACCGGTCACCTGCTGAATGAGTGCAACAACAGACTTGAAGGAAACGAAACTTGCAACCAGCAGCACAGAGGAAAGAGTGGTTTATAGACACCCCTTTGAACCTATGTATTGTCATGTATAATCCATCCAAGAACCACCCGAAAATCTGTGGTGCAGGAAGAAATCTCACTGTCACTGCAAGAGGGGTGTTCTTGCAATGTGGCTCTGCCAAGTTTTACCGAGGGCTGCAACATCATTCTTTCTCGGACCCCATCCCATCTCAACATGAGTATATTTATTATAGTAATGAGGATCTTGTCTTGGCACTCACTTGCGGGCGTGTCGCGTTCCCACACTGCCCCTTACCCCGTATTGGAAAGGGGGTAGGTGGGTTGGCTTATAAAACCTCTTCAAAGGGAAGGTTATTAGTCAAGATCCCACATTTGACCTTCAGATCTTACCCCTATAGATAAGTAGACTGGAAGACGTCTTCTGAACCTTCAGGATCGATGGCGAAACGGTGGTCTTCGCTACACACTCAGGTCTTGGGCGGGGCATGGCGGACGGGCGGGCTTTTGGGGTACATTGGGCATTCACATGCACTGTGAGTCGTGGATGCCACACACACACACTCTACACGTCACGTCTCACACGCGAGGTCTGAGCGTGTCTGCGAGGTAAACAGAATCGACCTGGTCCACCGGGCTCCTGGTGAGTTCGGGGGCCACCCTGGGTGTCATGACCCACTCTCCAGCGCGTGGAGACCGGAGCTTCAGCTTCAGAAGGGCAGCGGTTGCAGAAAACGAAGGGCAGCGTTGCGCAAGTGCCTTCGTTCTTTTGGGGGGATCTTCTTGTAGCTTTGAAAGGTACGTAGTATAATGTTTAACCTACTGAAGAGCTGATAAACTGGGCAATTGGAATCCAAACAGTATCCTTAGAACGCAGCAAGGGCATCCTCAAACACTCCTCGAAGACCCAAAGTGAACTAAATGCTGGGAGGAGCAGCTGTAGCTAGCCAGTGGTGTCGGGAACTCCCTGTAGCTCCCTTGGCTTCCTGTTGAGAGAGAAATATGATGAAATATGGATACCTCCAGCTCCTGAGCTCCCTCTTAACCACCGCCATATGCTCGTCCCCGAAAAAAAAATACCGAAACAATCATCATTTTCAAGACTCCACGTGTCGGTTCGAGGCTAATATACTATGAAGATCGGTAGGGATCTCACCTCGCCCACGGCGAACATCGCCGCAGAATTCCATGGGCAAACCTCGCGAATGCCAACCTCCTCATGTTCGCCGAAACCTCCTCCGCTGCTCTCCGGTGAAAACACATCGTCTTCGTCCAGTCCTTTACGGCCTCTTCATCAGGATCCTGTCAGCGCCAACAGCGCCGTTTCCGGGTCGGGATGTGGCGGAAACTGAAACTCCGGGCGAAGGAAGGGCTAGGCACCAAAGTTCGGTCCAAAAATCGGGATGAACTGGGATTTGCTGAATTCAGGAACTGGGAAAAAAACTAGAAACATACTGTGTTCCTGAGAAGGAAATTCAGGAAATAGGAGAAAATCACAATAACCCTGTGCAAATCCAGGAGTTTAAGTCCACCAAGGGACAGTAGAGTGTCTGATCGATTCTACTCGTTCCGAAGACAGAAATGTCCAAGCCTTGACCAAAAGTACTTGCACAACATTCCAGAACTAAGTTCAGTCGTTCCAACACAACCCTCATATGTTGGACTTGTTCATCCTGTTCCCCCTTCTTTGCTACATGCCAGCTTCTATAACTATCTTCTTCGCCATACATCACACGCCCCGCCATCTTCCCCGCATTGGATGCGTATGGGTGGTTCGGGTCCACGGCCTTCTGCTCCAAGAAGTTCTCTGGATTCATCCAGCCACGGCGAAAGCCCGCCTGAACCAGGGCCGGCTCGGGCCACGTGGGGAGTCGCCTTCGTCGCGACGTCCGGACGTGCATCCGACCCTCTGAGAGTTTGTCCGACGTCTGTGAGATCCCGGAGAGTGGTGTAGGTATAGACAGGACACCCAGATCAGGATTCCAGGTAGACTTGTCACCATATGTATGCCATATGTTAATATATTTGATCCATATTTGTGTCCACTAGACTTAGTAAGCCTATCAGTCTATCACCTGATGCAGAGCTCAATATAGAAGCAAGAAGGAGCTAACAACGGGATATATATATATATATTGGCAAAATAAACGGTTCCAGTGAAATCCTAAACCACACACAGTTGGCGGAGTGGCCTGGCTTTTTGATGCTTCTTGTTAGGAACATGCCTCCTACCAACAGGTTCGATTTCAGTGATGCCAAGCTTGGCTGTTCATATTCTTCAGGTACCAACAACAGCTCCCCGATCCCACCGTCGTCACCATTCCGCCGCGGCCTCGGTCCAGTCCAATTCCTGGAGCACACTGAGGTGATCTTGTTGGCTGATTTGATGATCCTGCCTGGCGCGGCGCTTCCCGCGGCCGCGACAAGAAGCGAGAAGCGAAACAAAAAAGAACACACATCACACCGCCGAGATGTGCGAACACGACGCCAAGCGTGTAATTCAGCTGTAACACCGTTCGAGAGAAGGCTGCGCAACCAATCGTGGGAGCACAGCCTTGGGGGGCATACGGCGTGTATTCATACGCGGTGAAGCAGACCGCATGGGACTGCGCGTGAGCACCCCGAATTAAAGCCTTTCCACCAGAACGCATGGAGCCAAGTTCGTGGGCTAGCCTGAAATTCACCAACCCAAACGAAAAAAAGCCTCCCAAAACTTCAGGCCCAGCCGTACTTTTCCAAAAACTCAGACAACTCACGTCTCGTCATCAACTATCTCCGGTCTATCAGCGCGTGGTCTCCGGGGTCTGTGGGTTCGGCTCACCAGTGGCCTGTACTTGCTGAGCAGCTTTCGTTCGGAGTCATCCACCTCCGAGTGGCGCGAACCGCGACGGTGACGGGCGACAGACTGCGGTGAAATCGAAGGCAACCAGTGGCAGGTGAAGGATGGGATAGTATCAGCGCATTGGAAGTAGGATGTAGTTTTACTCCTTAGATTTTCACACACTCATCCTGGGCTCATCCTCCAATAAGTTCACCTTAGGACTCTTCGTCCCGGTTTCAAAGGGCCAAAGACTACAGCATGCCTCGCAAGAGATAGTTGAAGGCACATCATCTATGATCAGGCCGTGCTGGATTTGCAGCGTACCCAAACAACCAATCGCACCTCCCAGACTGTGAAGATCTTCCACCGTGGAGATGTTGTTCCATGTCTAAAAGGGTCGAAAAAATCATCGACATTCATCGACATTCATCGACATTCATCATGGAGATCTAAGGAGCGTCTACATGACCAGGTGGGTGGGGGAGGTGAAAAACACTGGGGAAGCGAGTACAAAAGCTTGAGCCAAGTAAATCCTCCTTCAGCTCCAAACGAAGGAACCGTTCCGGTCTCCCCCGCTGAAGAGCGGGTCTCCGGTCTCCTGATTTGGACGATCTACAACCTGCGCGACATGTGTTGCAAAAGCGGATCATCCATTGAGCTCCCTGGTGTGGCACGAAAGGAAGCGTACAACGAAGCTACGAGATCACGACGTCAGAGTGCTCGGCACTGATCCATGGTTTGGCACTGAAGACCCAAGGAGTCGAGGCTTGGGGCCGGTCTCGCATCGGTCGGGCTCGGGAAAACAGGCGACAAGCACCGTGACAATCACCCAGGTGGGTAGTACGCATGGTCACCCAACAAACGCATCCCAGTTACCACTATATACGGAACCAGGGTTTCTAGGTCTATGGTATTAGTCTTTGGAACCACTGGTTACCAGCTAGTGTTAACTGGATGCCCAGGGAACAGTATGAGTAGATAGATGGCGCAAACCTCATGGGAGAACCATACCTTCCAGGTATAGACCACCCATCTATTCTGAACCCATGCAAAACCAGGTGGATGTCCCCCGTTGTCCACCTTGCCATCTGCCAGGACTGCCATCATGAGGATCTTATATAGCCGACCTTGCAAACCAGGTCAGTGCCCAATTCTCAGTGCCGGCCCATGATGAAGTGTATCCTCCCCACTTCATGGTGGTTGATCATGGAAGGTAGTTGGACCCACCAAAACCATCCCTAACACTTCATGAGGGAGAACACGGAACCTTGACCGGGGTGTCTTCATTTGAGCCTCCTGGAATCTGCCGTCCGAACCGTGCAGGTGGTCATGTGTCCCAGGTTGCGCCGGACCAGCTCCAGAAAACAACATGTTCAACATGTTCCTGACCGACCAGTCAACAACAATGCAACAACCATGTACACGTCATGGGCATGTCATGGGATATTTCTGGGCTGGACTGGACTGAACATTGCTGGGCTGGACTGAACAACTCAAGGGACGTCTGATGTTCAATGCCAGCGAAAACATGTGGGACTCCATCAGACTGGTGATCCCGAGCGGATTGCTCTGGTGGATGGATGCCCTTCCCAGGATGGATGTGCATTTCAATGAATGCAGCCAGCATGTACTATATAATATTATGATGCACTGTCATACGTACAGTCATACTCCAGAAAACACAGATGTACACACCACCAGGCCAAATATATATATATATTATGCCAAAGATCTATGCCAAAGTTGAACCCCTTGTTTTACACACACAAAAAAAGAAACGTGCCCCACTAACAGACACACACACACACACACTCAGGAATTTATTCCCTGCAATTTGATTGCTCCAAGCGAAGCTTCGGTTTAATTCGAAGAAATGAGTCGCACAAAGGGATTCAAAGGAACCAAAGGCAAAGATCCAGTCTCGAGTCGTCAAGGATGATGCGTGCAACGGAAAACATGGGGGCTGTTACAAACCTGTTCAGACGGGATATTTCCGTCCGGTTGTTCCAAAACCAGACTGTATGGTTGTTACAAACAGGGACCAAAAGCTTGAGATCCTCCAGCTGTCACTCATAGACCCAGCTGTCACTCACTTCAACACAGGTTATGTGGAAACCACCACGACATAGATGGGCCTTCGTGGAAACCACCGTGCCATCTATGCCATATATATATATATGTCCACAGCCCCTTGTGACTCCGAAGGTTACACGCACTCTTCAGTCGTCCTATCGGTGTGAAACACCCGGCAACCGGTGTTTCACCTGGCCAAGGCACGTCTTTGCGTCGGAGTGTTGGAAGAGACATAGTTCACCATCTGCGCACCGCGCGAAGCGTTCGACACGGACGGCCGCAGCATGACTGTGAGTTGACAAAGGTGGAACGAACACTGGGCCTTTAACGGTCTTTGGTTTTGGCCTAGACTGTATCTACAGCAGTCGCATTGTTCAAAAAAAATACTGAATTATGTAATAAGACATGGTCAGAACAATTGCTATTGAAAAATTAATGAACATATTGAGCACTTTCATTACCTAAAGCACAAACAAACAAACAAACACTTCTTTTTTAGAGTGATATCTAGAAATCAAACTGTTTTTAGAAATGATAGATAGAAATACTTGACAAAAACTATACATGCCTTCAATATCAAATTGCTTTAGCTCCACAAGGTGTGTTCGCCGCGAACTGTTCGCGGTACTTAAATATGAATAAGTAATAGCTGTTGTCTTTAAGAAGAGTATCACTAGGAGAATGCAACATTTAAAAGTCAATAAACGTTCTCAAAAAAGATTGATGTATTCTAAATGTCTGGAAAATTATACATTTTACATACGCATTTTAATGTTAATTCTACGTCTATTTATATTTCTTGGAACAATGCTTTTTCTTGTGCTGGCGGTTCTTGTTTATGTTGAAGGCTGGAGGTTTTCTTTATGCGGACGGTTTTTTCTATGCAGGCCGTGCTTGTTTAATGCTGACGGTTCGGATTTTTATGCTGGGAGGTTCCTTTTTTTATGCAGACAGTTTCTTAATGTTGACTTGTTTTCTGGGAGCTTCATTTTTATGCGGACAGTTTCTTTTCTTATGCCGGTGATTTTGTTTCTTCCTCTTTCTCCCTCCTTTTGCGGGGAGAACTTGCGGACGGTTCTTTTTTGGTATGCGGGAGGTTGGAGGGTCATTTTTGGTAACCGGACGTATTTTTTATGCTGGCGGTTCTTTATCTCATGCTGGCGGTTCTGATGTTTATGCGGTTTTCGTTTAGAGCTGGTTATGTTATTTTTTTGAGTATTTGTTTCTTATGCTGGCCTTTTTTTCGGGATGCTGGGGGTGTTCTGTTTACGCGGACATTCCTTTTTGCTGGCGGTTCTGTTTCTCATGCTGGTAGATTCCGTTGTTTGGTCTTATGCTGGTGATGTTGTTTCTTCTTCTTCCGTTCTCCTTTTGCGGGGCACCGCTTGCCTTGGGGGGTCACAAAAGGTAGCCACGTTGAAAAGGAAGGTCCCTTCCTCCTCTAACTGGTTCACGAAAGGTATGCTACGTTAAAAAGCCCTTTCTTCCTCCACATGAAGAAACGGCAAAAACACACAGCACAAGAAAGTGAGATAGAAACAATAGCAAACACTGAAAAGTGGTTCACAGTGAAACTATCAAAATAGACGCCCAAAACATGAGCATCACAAGAAACAACACCGATCCCGAGAATATGCAGCAACACAAACCTGAAAACCGAACTCAAAATACAAAGACAAACAACAAAATAACCAACGCAGGAACAAAAACCATAGAAACCGCACATCACAATAACTATGACTGAAAAAAAAACTGAACAAAAAACACGTCCTCGCGCAAGAATAGGAATGGGAAAAGGATGGAAAAGGAAAAGACAACGACGAAGAAGGAAGGAAAAGGAAGCTGCAGCCGCTCGACCCGGAAGATGGTCTCCTGGTGGTTCACCAACACTTGCTATGCAGCGAAGCTCCAAATTCAGGCCCCGGCACTGAAACGTTTTCGCACAAAGCAGCTGTGATGGCAACCCTTTTGGGCCCTGTCCCCGAAGAGCTTAAGATGGCGTGAAGGACTTGGCAACTTGCAAACCTACAGGGCCAGAGCTGTCATCGATTGGGCTCCTTGTTTGCGCACGCCAGATTCTTACAGTAACGGGCAGGGGTTGGGCCAAACAATTATGTTCATGTTTCAATTTCTGTCTTGTATGGTGCGTGCATTTCGTGAATTAAACAGTATATTTAGAAAAAAGATCAGACCCGTTCTTTTCTACAGTCAAAAAGCTCCAAAATAGTCTGTTGTTGAATTATTTACTGTAGTTGACTCGTCAAGTGTTTCTTCTGTAGAATCATGTAGAACGAGAATGGAACTATCAGGACCCTATAAGGGTTGCCAATGGGTCAGGGGTACCATATATACATAATATAATCATATAATCATATATATATACAGTATATGTACCCTACCCCTTCTCATAAGTACCAACTCCTTGAGGTCTTCTGGTATGGTCTTTTTCGAGGGCTCCCGTCGATCTTCAGGTACTGTTGCCCCCCAAAACCACGCACCCACCCCAAGCAAGGAGGTATATAAGGGGATAAGACCTTTCGGGCTCCAGCCCTCATCCTTGAGCGGCGGCCCTTCTTCCTCCTCAAAATGTGGAGAGAGGCGACCCAGTTGAAAATCGCCTCGTGGAAGAGGATGGAGACGATACTTGCCTGGATCCCTTTGTCTTCCTGACCGGAAGAATGCGAGAAAAGGATCCGGAAAGTCATATTTCTTTCGCGGAACGGCCAGGGGATGCCAGGGATGCTTTCAGTGATCCATGTAGGCAAACAGTCGTCCATAGATCGAAGTCTCTGGCTCTACTAGCATGGTTCTTCCGCACCGAAGTCATACCTTCTACATGCCTTCGACCGTTTCTCTCTTGGTCAACCCAGTGGGGTCCAGGACAGCTGGACTGACGCCGAAGGACGTCTGAGGAGATTCCAGGGACAAACCGCGTCCCAATCAGTCAGTAGGGAGACCAGGTAGGGAGACCAGTAGGGTCAGTAGCCTGGGTCAGTAGGGAGACCAGTAGGGTTGGATCAGTAGGGGCGTTTCGATGAATTCCCAAGTGTTCCAACCATTTTTTGGAGGTCGGGTTGGTGGGAAACTCCGGTGAGGTCGCTGCCATGAACGGAAGACCGTGCACGGGGATTTCGACCATAACAAGGATAATAAAGACGACAAAATAAGTTCAAGCAGATGGTCAAATGGTCCCGGAAGCCAAGGGAATGTACTTGGAGTCAGCCAGGCAGCCAACCTGTTAACCCTCTTGTCCAGTCAGGCAACTGGAGCCGTTCCTCACCCACTTCTATCGCACGAATTGGACTACGACGAGGACCTCCTTTCGGCGGTGCGACCCTCCAAACCTCTTCCAAAGACCTTCCTCGACGGCTGGTACGGCTGGAGCCACGGAACCTCGGGGGTTTGGCTTGCTTCAAATCCCTAGAGCTCCAGCCGTTCCTTCGGTTCGTTTCGGTGGGACTGGGTTGCCTGACCTGAGGGGCCAAAGACTGACCCGAGGAGCTCAAGTCCCGGCCCAGGTCGAGGTGTCCGGTGGAACTGGGGAGGTTCTCCCTATTTCACCACTGTCTTTATACTACTGGCCTTTAGACTTTAGATGACCGGAAAAAGATGGTTTCTTTACTTCGGTTGTGCCACATTCAGTCTTTGGACTTCAGGGTATTAAAATATATCTGCATATAATAGATACATATATATATATTATAGCCAATGGGCGCCATCTCATTTGGACGGGGTCCTTCATCATCTCCATGAGCTCATCATATTCCCACCTGGCAAATTCGCTCATTCTCGGTCATGGTCACTCCATGCAGCGACCAGGATGCTCATAGATGGCCCAACTTCCGGTTGCTAAAGGGATGAATTGAAACTAAATACTCGTTCCATAAAGAGGGGAACATTTCCCAAAAACTCTTTACACATATGCACACATATACGATCATATACTCTTCTTCTCTTCATGTTGGGATGCCTTTTCTTGGTGGGGTGCTTCGGGTGCTTTCGCTGAACCACCCAACCGGGGTTCTCTGAGTGAACTGGGCTGTCCAGGGTGAGCAAACTCAATCCCCCATTCAGGCCCTGCTCGGTGGCCCGTCCCCCAGGTAGAAGGTGGCCAAGAGTAGCTCCCTGGCTTCCTGGCCCACCAATAAGCCACCTTTTCCGCACAACTCATTGTCTTTACCAAGGATTTGACACAATAAAGCCAGATCAATCGTCATGTTTTTGGAAGGCCAACAGGGGCTTTTTCGACCCGTATATCCACGTGCATCCTCGACCTTGTGCTTTAGACCAAAATTTGTTGATGTGGAAGGGTTCAACATCACACTCTCTCAAAGCCACACCATTTTGGAAGGAAAAAAACTCATGCAGCTTGGATCAGCTTGGTCATGAGGCCAGTCATCCCAACCAAAATGACGCCTCGCTCAGGAAAGCCTGCATCCATTTCATGCCAAGTGACTCTAGGTATTCCACCGCAGTCTCAGCGATGATATCCTCGGCGGTTCGGCGATGACCCGATGAAAAACCCACCGGTTTTGCGACGAGACTGTAGCCATACCCTGACACGACCTGTCTGGGACTGGCATGACCAAGAAACAGTTCCAGTCCCATATATGGAGTGTCTGGGATATTGGACAGTGCTGTTGAAGTATACTGATCTGCACCTGTACGGACTTGAAGAGCTCAATTTCCGGCTGCTCCAGGATCCAATGTATTTTCAGAATTTTAGATCAGTTCTGAGGGAGGGGGAACTTTCTGTTCAATTTGGCTTGGCTGTGACGAAACTACGTTGACATGCTGGGGTGCCCAAGCTACCACTCTCACAAATGAATTCCATGCAAGTTGTCTTCTCCAGGGGCATCTGCTGTCCAGTACTTAGGCCATGCGAGTCCCTGCTGTTGTAAATAATTGCAAGCCCCTGTTTCACGTGATGGATCTGGGCAGTCTGGGCAAAATATTGCATAATACTAAAATACCATACCAGAAAATAAACTGGAAAAAAAAGTTATTAACAGACTGACCACAGGAACTCGGCGGAACTCGTGCAAAACACAACTCTCTCTGCACACCTTTCTGAAACCCAACGAAAAGGTAAGTGCTCACCTTCGGTCTCACCTTTGCTCGCTTGATTTCTGAACCGCCAGCTGCTGTGCCTCGACCAGCGAACCTCAACACCCTGAGGCCTGAACAAGACCAGCTGGTCACAAGACCCTTCGGTCAGGCGGTCAATTGAGGTCCTTCCATGTCCAAATAAGAGGAGCTCTATTACCATCTAAGAGTCTAAAATGACTTCCGACGAAATGCTGTTGACAGCGTTTGATGGATGTGGATGTAGCGGCCACATGATGCTAATCAAACGTTTCGTTAGTAGGGAAACATCCACAGAAAAGAATATACAGTAAAAACATCCCAAACCCACCGTTTAGTACAAACAAGTATATACCAGGTGGTCCAGGTATGTCTCCTTCTACTGTGGGTTTGGGCTCCACAGCCAGTTTTGGAGCCCCCATCCCAGTTTATCCCCAGTGGCGTTGGGATAGGCTTCCTCCAGCCGCCCGGGCGAGGCAATCGCCGTCCCGTTCCTGGGCGAGTGGTGCGTGGCGAACGACCGGATGGATGCCATCATCCCTGCATAGGTTCGGGTCCAGGGGCGTTTGGGTTGATCAACACCATCTACCAGGACTCGACTCGCTCAGCAATGGATCAACCTCAGAAGGGGCCCAACCCTGAACGTCGAAGACCTGGCAGGGAGGGGTACTGGTAGTCCTCCCCGACTCATGTGAATGATTTACGTGGATTCTCCCCCCAAACAATCGGGAAACAGGTTCAAAAGCGTCCTGGCGGCCGATTCACCCCTCATGCTGCTCCGGGCCTCCGGATCCATACCCCCGCAGCGAGGCGGAAACCGAGCTCGTCCGAGAAAACACCTAACCCACTGGCGATCCGTCCGAGTTCGCTGGACTCGTCCTTCCACATCGACAGCGCGTGGTTCGCCGAGGGAGTATACCTGGATCTTCCAACTATGCAAAATTGATGCCTTTTGGCAGGCTTTATAGATGAAAAGGCAGAAATTTGTCACAGTTGGAAGATCCAGGTATGTTTCCAGCTCCCAAAACAGTTCCGCCAAGTCCGTCCACCTCCGCCCATCCATGGCCCGCGTGATGGTCTCGCCAAGCGGCACCACCGAGCCACGGCACGTGAGCTTCGGCGTGGCGGAGAGCCCGTCCGCCTCCGCTCGGCTTTGGTTGGGCGACCGAGGTGAAGCAGTTGCACCGAAGACCCATAACTAGCTATAGGCGATCCTAGGCTATCCTAGGCTGACCATTGAAGAAACGCTTGAGGATGGTTTTGTATAGTGCATGGTGCAGTTTAAAAACCGTATAGTAAAACAAGGGTTGTGTGGTAAAGACCATTAAAACAATGATCGTTGGTGCGTAAGAGTGCACAGCATACCACCAGAGGTATAGTCTCAAAGTGGCTATGCTCAGTGGCATGGGTGCGCAAAGAAACGTGGGTTGGAATCCAAAGGCTAAACGAACTCGCTGGCGGTCGTCGGCGCTGCCGTGGGTCAGTCCGAGTTTCGTTTTGGTTGGTGGTGAGTGAAGTAGAAAGTGGATGGTCCCAATTCATCTGCTAGTGGAGTTGCCGTACCCAACCACCCAACCACCTAAGCGTTCGGACTCAGGTGGTTGGAGATTAATTCCTGGCGGCCGATCGACATTCCAGCTCCCTGGTGTGACCAAACACAGCTTTTCAGGCTCGGATGTTCATCCCCGCCCTGACCAGCCGAGAGCCTAGAGAAATTGAACAGCCCTTTTTGGCATATCCCATGCACAAATATGTACAACTAGTCCAGGTCCCAGTTCAGGTCAACCTCGCTTGCTATAGCGTATACATGCCTATACCTGGAAAACCCAACTGGTTGTTCTAATATGACAACTGAGATCCTGAGAACTGGTTCTTTGTCAAAACATCCAGACTTGTTCCATGCTTGAGACTGAATTTTCCAGGTCCAACTGCCGAGTGCTCAAAACATTGCAAACACCACCACCCACCACGGTCTGTTTTTCCGTCCAAAAAAGAATGGCCAGACTTGTTGCATAGAAACAAGAAGCTAGTAGTAACAAGTGCAACGCTAGTAGTAACAGGTGCCTTACTAGTAGTAACAAGAAGCTTGAGACTGGATTTTTTTTCCAGGTCGCTTGCGCCCGGTCCTCACGTCGTCACCGCCCAGTCCTGAAAAGCGCCTCTAACTTTCCCAGGTACCGGTGGCTCGGCTCACCCGCGTCCAGTGAGACCACCGCATCTCCCTGGCATTTCGAGCACCAAGCAGGAGGTGGAGGTGGGATGAGGGTGAATGGGAGTGAAGAAAAGGTGACAGGCATGAGTACTCATTGAAGATGAATTGAAGATCTTCATTAGGCTTTCTTGGTTATCTTCACCTTCCAAATCTTCGACTATCTCAACAGAAACAACTATCTCAACCTCTCTCTCCCCACCTAAAAACTCGCGCCCCGGTCTTTCGCCCCGATGTGCCAGGAGCCCCGGCGCAGGAGCCCCGTCGGGCAAAGGCCTCCGGCTTGGCGTCGTTGGCCAAGCGCAACGCGACGGCCTCGCCCCGCAGGAGCAAGATCACCTGGCGGACGACCCGGCACCACCGGACGCCCTTTGGGAGCGGGAACATCAATGAGTCACCTGACCCGCCAAACCAGGCAGGAACCTGAGCCAATGACCTCTATTTTGGACCAGAAAAACCATAAGAAATCGAACCTTCTACCAAAACAGTGGTTATGTCTGCATGGGTTCTAGGTATGGAATACATTGGGGTGCTTTCAGGGGTCTGTATAGTCATGGAGTGTCTGGTCAGGAAGAGGCTTGAAGTTGAAGAGGTCTAACTTTAGGTGTCTCTAGTTAGTAAGCTACTTGATCCATGCCATTCCAAGATGAACATCCATGGTCCATGTGTCCAGAGGACCTGAACTACAGGTCTGGTGGAAGACTTTCACTTGGTCATGAAATGCGAAACCAGTCAGAATCCAAAGACAAGGGCACCGCCTCTCATGAAAAGGGCAAGCAGCTCCTGCTTGGTAGATTCCCTTCTTTCTAACCCCCCATCAATTCACCTACAGTAGAGTGACTCGGGCTCCCTGGTTGGGTTTGGATGTGTTGGAATGTGGATGAAGCATCTCCCATCATGGGACGCTCCATACCGCTTCGCCCCGAAAAGGCGGGCTCCACGCCACGGTGCTTCGCTGTCGATCCATTCTGGTTCGCTACTCCCAGCAGGCTGCAGACGTGGCATGTTTCGGATCCCAGGGAGAGCTCAAGATCGTTCGGATGCGAGTCGAAGATGAACGACGGCAAAAAACACGAGAAAGCACTGAAAGACTCAACACTCCGTTGTTTTCAAGGAGGCCTCCCTTCAACACTACATTGCGAAACGGGGTTTCCAGACGCGATTCTGCCGCCTCCGCGATTCCAAACGGATGAGTTGGACGCTCCGACGCTTTTTGTGCGGTCCATTGTTTACTGCGCGAAAAGCGCATCGACCTCAGGGTCAGTCAAGGGTGACACATTGGGTTCCTCCACCTCGCTCACTCCCTGTCTCTCTGTCATTGCTTGTAATAGAATCTAATCGATTTCCAAAGCTGGTAAGTGGTAGATGGTGAGAAAAGCACCACGCAGTTGAATTTCAACCTCTAAGCGGTTCATAGGCCGCCTAAACAGTTTGCTGGGAAGTTGGACATCCTTGTTTGGGCCCATCTGTTGACTGGTGTATGCTGCTGCGTTGCAAAGGACCAATGAGAAAATTATGCTCCAAGGGAGAACTTTACGGGTCTATCTACGAGAAGCAGCCGTTCCTCCCGAACTTTCCGGGCGCGAGAAGAAGCTGCCTGAGAACCACCGAGAAATGGTTCCGTTTGCCGAAAACGTAAGAATTGGCACGGGTGTCCATCTGTTCAGTGGTTCAGCCAACTAGTTCAACTGGGGTACTATCACCTAATTACACCGATCCAAGAACTCATGTAGCAAGAAAATGCATCTCACCATCCTCGATCGCAACGAACCTATCACCTCTCATCACCTCTCTTTTGTTGCCCAAATCCCCCGAGCTCTTCTCGTGGTCCAGCAAGCACTCCGCCCAAACCGTCCAACACCTCCCTCCAACCAACACACCCCCTTGCGACATGGGATTTCACTGAAAGCATGGAAAAACCCTCCAACCTCCGCAGCCACCCAAAAAAAAACAGACTCAAAAAAAACAACTCCCGACCCACCTTCCCCGGCCTTCTTGAAGGGCACGCCGCCCTGCACCAACATCGCGCCGTGCTCCTTCCGCCGCCGCGTCGCGGACTTCATCAGCGACGCGAACCTCGGTCGGCTTGCGTCGTGCGAGAGACCAATCCGACTCCAAACCGGTCCCCTTGAACCACACACACAAATACAAGGCGTCTTTCGTTTGAAACAACGCGAGCTATGAACTCACGTAAAAAAACAATATCCTAACTTATAGTTAATGATGGACTCCGAGATGGTTTTCATGATGGGTGATACGAAGCATTCTTCCAAAAAAAATCCCACCTGCCAGGTGACGGTTGCTCCCCACGGGTCAGGTGAGGGTTGTTAGATATTATGTTAGCTCCTTTCCTCCGCCTCCGCCTCTGCCTCCGCCTCGTCCGCCTCCTCCTCGTCCGCTTTGTCCTCAACCCCGCCGGACCTCAACCGCGAGCGTCAGCTGGCAGTGTTCCCCACCGGACCTCAACCACGAGCTCGGCTGGCAGTGTCCCCCGCCGGACCTCAACTGCGAGCTCCAGCTGGCAGAGTTTTCCGCCGGACCTCAATCAGCACACAACCACAAACACACAACTTCAACCACAAAAACACAATCACAAACACACAACCACAAACACACAACTTCAACCACAAAAACACAATCACAAACACACAACCACAAACACACAACCACAAACACATCCACTAAACACACAATCACAAACACACAGCCACAAGCACAACCACAAACATATCCACTAAACACACAATCACAAACACACAGCCACAAACATATCCACTAAACACACAATCACAAAGACACAGCCACAAACACAACCACAAACACAAGGGATGGCCACCCCTCAGGCGTCGCGCTAATTTGCACGGTTGGGTTTCGCCAAGTCTCATGAGGGTCATCGTTGTTGCGTTTCGTTCGTTTTTTTGGTGAAGGCCCTTTTTTTGCAAAATGCATTCGATTTTGCAGGTGCAACAGCGTTTTCAATTGTTTTTTGATGTTTAGGCGTTTTCGGCACTGCCTTGCCTGCTCACTTTGAACGTCTGCTTATGGCTTTTGCAACGGCGGGGAGGAGATCATCCCTCAGCGCTGATAGCGAAACAGGTCACGCTGGCATAACCTTCATTTAGGCCCTTCTACGCCAGATGAAAAACCCCCGCGCAGGGCGCAGGTTGGCTCTTCTATGCCAGACGAAAAAGCATGCACTTGACAGAAACCATGTCCCTCAGAACGCCGCAAAGCTGTTTTTTGTAGCTGTCTCGTTGAGCCTGTGGAAAACAGATGTGGTGAGAACTCCCGTCCCCATGCTCCAGGCTGTCTTTTTGGCACACACTGACAGTTTACTCCCGTCCGGCCCTGTGCACTCGGTTGCATGGAACAGCGATCCTTCTTCAAACACCGATCGGGCCACTGTTGAACATCGGCCGAACTTTGCAAAAGCTTATCACACTTCTGTTCAAACCATTTAGCGCAACACAAAGCTGCAAATGCAGCTCGAAGTCCTGTTCGAAAAATGTGAGGACGCAGAGCTCGTTGGCATCCCGATCGACGACACCTTCCCCACTTGGTTTGTTTGAGGTCTTTGGTCACCCGTGCTGTAGTCTGCATTGCATCAAAAACAGGCCGTCAGCGTGGCCAGTAGAAGCAGACGATGCCATTCATTGCAAGCTCAGCGGCCATTGAAGGCGCATTCCTCTATGAGCGTGCATGGATGGTGTCTAAAAAATTCAAGAGAGCGAAGCAGAGAAGAGAAAAACAATTTTTTGAGTATACGCATTACAAGTATCTCTGCAGGAACACTGTGTTTCCAATAATGATCGAGCTTCTTCCGTAAATGAGGAGGCGACTCATCGCCACATGGTGGACTCAAGTCTTCCGAATATCTTCAAGATGCATTCATCTCCTTTGCCGATCTCTTTGGAGCCGGTGGAGGAGCATCCACATCCAGAACCGGTTGAAAGCAAGAAATTTCTGGAGAAGAAAGCACCTCACGCGTGAAAGCCGCAAGAATGGTGGACTTCAGTTTTCGGAAGAATTTCTGGATCGAGTGAGCTGTGCACACATACATAGACACATGGAAACATGCACACACATGCACCAACAAACCAAGATGTTGGAATCGTCCCCGCTCGTTCGGGGTTGCAGGCGCATTGTTGCGAGGCTCCAATGCCGCACCACAAGAAAAATGAATGGGCATGTTTCTCGAAAGAAAGTGCTGCAAACTCAACGAGAGAGACCGAGGGTCAAGCTCATCGAGGTACCGTGTACGCAACCTCGGATGTCAACGACGGTCTAGAAGAAGTCATGGGCAATGCGCAAAGAGGAAGACCCAACAAACGTCTAGACAAGACCCAAAGAGAAGCAGTCTGAGGGGAAGAGACACACAGAACCGAACGAGTGTACCGAAGCCACGCAGCTGATAACAGAGGTATGTATAAGAAGGTAAACCGGACCAATCACACCAAGATCTATCCGGACCGAGCAAAACCTGTAAAACAAACCGCTCTAGAGAATCTAGACCTAACGACACCCACCGTCTTTGTACTGATCAAGGGTAAACGGAATCACACGAAGCAAAAACAACAGCAAACGATCCGAAGACGGACACGGCTGACCAGCAATGCAAAGTAACAAGACGAACACCAAGACTAAGGCTTGGGGGCAAACCATGGTTGAACCAAAATCCTGCACAATGCAACGAACTATGAAGCTATCTTAAAGTGAACGAAGTACGAAGGTATCTTAATGTGAACAAATTGCAAACTTATCTTAAAGTAAACTTAAAAAACAAAGTTATCTTAACGTGAACGAAGAACCATGTTATCGTCATAACATAGACAAAAATTAAACCAACGTCTTGCACCATGCAACAAACTACGAAGCTGTGAAAGAAGTGCAAAGTTATCTTAACGTAAACGAAGTGCGAAGTTATATCTTCAAACGACAGAAAATCGACGTCATAACGCCCCCAACCCCACCCCACGTTGTCACGAAGCAAGGCAACAGCAAGTCAGCGACAAAAGCAAAAATAGCACACCTCTCACGACGCCCTCGTGGGACCCATACCAAACACAAACACAATCACAAACACACAGCCACAAACGCATCCACAAACATACAATCACAAACACACAGCCACAAACGCATCCACAAACACCCAATCACAAACACACCGCAAACACACGGCCGCAAACACAACCACAAAGACACATTCACAGCACACAACCACAACACACAACCCGAGGACCCACAAGCAAAATCCAGAACCACGAATTACGACCATGGCAACATGCTCCTCTCCTCGTCTCCTTGACTACCGCACCTCAACTGCAAGTGCCAGATCGCAGTGGGCATGCAAAACCGGACCTTAACTGCGAGCTCCCGATCGCAGTGGGCACTGCCAGACCTCAACACACACACCACACAACCAGACGACATAACCAAAAACACACAGACACAAAACACAACCACAAACAACACACAGCGCTAACAAACGGGGCCCTCAAACAAATAGGGTTTTCCGGCCCCGGACCCCTGCTATGGAGGGCCCAACCCCTGCCATGGACAGCCCAACAATTCTTGGGGAGTACACAATCAACAAAAAACACAACCACAAACACACACAATACACAACCAACAAAGCACAACCACAGACGCAAACGCAATACACATTCACAACAAGCACGAACACACAAACACAACACACAACCAACCAAACGCAACCACAATAAGTAAGCGCAGCTCCAGACACCTGGAAGGGCCTGCCAGCCAGGTAGTTGCAATTACACTCCAGCAACGTAGTCCGTGAGTCGTAAAACGTCACGTCTTGCGCCTGTTAGCACGACCGTTAAGGCATCCACATGGCATCAAAACAAGGACAGGGTCGCACTTGGGATAGAATGCTGGCTGTAGAGCCTCAACCATGGCATTTATGATGATGGACGATGTGTAAGAGCACAAACCAGATTTGATGCCAGAACAGTGTTTCAATAGACCTGCGTGAGTCAGTGTGTTTGATTGTTCATTTCCCACCATGACATGAAAACAAATCATTGAAATGTCATGGTGGGGATCACTCGAAGTAAAATATGTTTCAACGGCCCAAAAACTGGCCCAACCCTTCCAAATCGGGTGCGAAGGCGTGTAGAAGGCTTGGGACCAAAATATGTTCCAATGTATTCCCTATCTCACGTTATCCCAGGTACAATACCCAGGTAATGTAGAATTTTGTTTTCATCAATACTGTGTATATATATACATATATATATATATCAAAGAGGTTTTACAACCCCAGTGGGGGGTGCATGGGGGTGTCAATGATTATACAGATCTACTGTACATGGTCGACATTGTATCATCTCTTCCAAAGATGATTCTGCACCGCACCTTCATGCGTACCGGTCCCATCGATCGATGGACGTCCCATGTGGCGATGCTCCCAGACCGCAAGCGACCCAGCATTAATCACGATCTGCGCCGCCATTGTTCAAACTAGCTTTTGACTACTGTTACTACTATATATTACTATAATCACCAGCCACGATATAGGCTATATTATTCTATCAGACCCGGAAAGTCCACGCCGAAACTCAAAAAGAGGCCCCGTGACGTCTCTCACGGGGCTCCGGGCGCGGCGCTGGAGACGCCGAAGGGGAGGAACGTGGATTCATAGACCTCCAAGCGACCATCTTACGGTGGAGGGCATCATTTTTTGAGACCCCTCTTGGAGAGGTTAGGAGCGAGGAAGCGTCGGTGCCGGATCCCATGGATGGAACATGCGTTTCTAGGTCTATAACACCTTCCAAGAGGGGTCTATAAAATCCTCTTATAACCTCTTAGAGGGTGATTCAGGGGTGTCCAAAAACCAAATCTTGGAAGGTCCTGGTAAAGATCCTATCTATAGCTCTTCCAACTCTGCAATCAAAAACTGCCTTTTCATCTCTACGCGCAAACCGGCTTGAACGGTCCCACACCTCCGCCGAAGTGAGCCGCCTCACACGATGCCTTTTCATCTATAGTGGCTTGAGAGCACCAATGGCACAGGGGCCCCCAAGGCACGTCTGTGCTTTAGTAGCGAGCCCCTCATGTTTTCAGGACATCTTGTTCGGTCTGCTCCGTTGAATCTCTGAAACCGCTGTCATCAAACCGGCCAAGTTAGGACCCGAATGTTCTGCAGAATGCTCTTCGGCGACGATCCGAAGAACACTCCGCCGAGTCCGCCAGCCAGTCCCCACCCATTGGAGGCTGGCGGTCCATGGGACTTCAATTGTTTACCCACATTCACCCCTGAAAGAAACCCTAAAATAGGTCATATGCCATGCATGGAGTGTCTGGGTATGTGTACTTTGGATCGTTTTGGATAGTTCTGACCGTCCCAGCGCAAATTTCGCGCAAGGCTTATCGAGACTCAGGGGGCACCTCCAAATCCTCCTTGGCAATCTCCACCTTCGCGGGTTTTAAGAACAGTAGGGGCACCATGCCTGGCCGATCCACAACTGGAGGTTCTGCAACTCGGCTGGGGGTTGTCCTGGGTCCGGCTAGCCGGCTAGCCTATGTCCATGGAGCGTTCCCCAGACCATCCAAGGGACTGGCCTAATTGCCCTACATGGGGTAGATTTCAGAAGTAGTTTTACTGGGTGGAAAATATGTTCCAGTCCCATAGATGATCGGGGAAGGATCTGTTCTACCCCATTACGTCTTGGGGAGGTTTTCGCGATGTTTCACGCTCGAAATGACAGAACATCCACAGCGTAAGGCCCAGGCGCAAACGGACCAGACCAAACTTGGTGACTTTGTGGTTCATGATGGTTTATGGATTCATGAAGAGGATGTGTCTGCTTTCCCGCCCTTGCAAATCAACAAACAACGGCGCCACCACAAAAAACTCCAAAAGGAACAGCCTTTTCCACACCGAATTGAAAGCCCTAGTTACCAATTGGCGAATGATTCAAAGCCTTAGCTTCATTTGCACACCCTTCTTACTGGGTTTGCGTCGGTCGAGTGGACGAAATCAATGAAACCCCGGCGTGAGCGATTCCATGGGGCAAGGGTTGCGGGGTGTGATTTGTTATGAGCGTCTGAACTCGCTGGTTTTCACCGAAGAGGACATGATTTCGGAGCTGAAAACGCTCGTGAGGGGGGCCTATCTCTTTTCCCAGTTTCAGCAGCTCAATTCGTCTTCGCTGGTTTTGGTGGCTCATCTACTGCAAGATGTCCTTGGGATAAGGCGATAACCATAAACTGCCTTGGGGCACCTGACGCAGGGCGTTTGTGGCAAACAAAACGGATTGGACCTGGATGTCCAATGCACCGAGTTGGAACACCTGGAATGGGATTTCTGAGATGTCGCACATCTCATACTGCTACAGTAGTTTCAGAGATTCGATGGCAATGGCACCCCCACATGTCTCAAACAAAGGGGTCAATGTGAATCCACTGCAAAAATCGTCCATGAAGAGCTGACCCCGCCAAGTTTGAAGACTTGACCCGCAAGAGCAGCCAGCAACCCCGGTTTCCGGTGTAATTTTAGATTCTATAAAGAGTATTATCTACTTTTGGTTTGTTGTCCAAGAAGCAGGTTTGGGGGTTGAGCCTTAGGAAAAATAAACAAATCACCAGATCCGCAAAGCCAGGTACTTTAACCCTCCAAGATCGGTAGTTTGTGGACCAAGCCGCAGGAGCAAACTGGGGGCACCATGTCACTGAAAAACACCGATCTTGGAGGGTCCTAAGTCCTTATGTATGTATACATATATACATATATATGTATATATGTATGTATGTATGTGTGTGTATGTATGTATGTATGTATGTATGTATGTATGTATGTATGTATGT